GATTAATTTGCTTTATAAAACTTTCATCTTGTCATCATTGTGCTTTCTAGTTTTTTGCCAAGCCATGATAAATCTAAGGAAATCAAGAATGAACAACACGATTTGGGATAGGAACCACTGTTCCTGTATCCCTAGAAAATTGTGGTAAACACGGACTCACCTGCCAAACTGGTTTAGATTGAGATTTTTATCGGGTATCAGGGAACCATGTGAATATAAATTAGATTTGATCAAAACAGGCCAAAACTTGAAATTCAGCATGTATGACCGACTCAGGCCTAACTCAAATTATTTTTTACTTTTAAACTTTCTATTTGAAAATAAAAAATAATGAAAGAAAAGAGATGAGTGCAATTCGCCATTTGCACATCACTGATTCAGGAATAAAACTATAGAATTTTGAAAGATAACTGAAAATATTTAGGATCGTTTTAATGTTAAAAATAACCAAATAGATCTTTCTGTTTAGTTTTTTACTTACAATACCAAACGATTCCCTATAATATGCACTATAATTTAATCATTATGATATCAAATAATTACATAATATATATTGAAATGATAAAAATTGGACTAATTGGGTTGGTCGAGGTTGAACCATTGAATAATTTTAAAATACATTATATTTTAGCCACTAAGATATAAAATAATAGCATAATATATATTATGCTAGAGAAAATAGCTTGTTTTAGATTCACAAACTCATGATGTTCATTTGTTTTACTTGATGAGCAAATCTCGTGTAGGTCAGGCACATTCAACTCTTTTATTTTATTATTAGCGATTAGCCCATTAGAATCCATGCATTAGTTTATTGTTAAATTTTTTTCATTTTAGCAATGAAAATGAGTATTGTTTTTGTCTTTTCATATATATTTTACCACCATGGAGAAATAAAAGGACTTAAAAAAAAAAATTGACACTCCTGGACCCATTTAAATTCGCATTTGTACGGTAAGTTAGCCCGTTCCACAGAGGAAAAAGAAAAAAATTGGCACTCCCTATTCTACCCTTCCTACAAACGCTCCTGGAGCAGGGAATTTGAAATGTGGGAAGGCTTTTTCCTTTCGGCGATTATATGTTTTTAATTTAAAAAGATACAACAAATGTGTTTAGTGTGATTGGTAATGATTTTTGCTTTTCTTTAAAGTGGTCATGTTTCGAATCCTAATAAGTGTCTTTTTAATGAATAAAAAAAGTAATTGTAAATATCAAAATGTCCTTCCTACTTTCACTCTGGATGCCGAAAAATTTTAAACGGGGCTTCAAGTTTTCTTCAAATTTTCTTATTGGGTAGATTCGAAAATTTATATATGTTAATCTCTAAAAAGAATTAGATATATTATTTTTACAAAAAGGTAATTTGCTAAAAAACAAATCAATGAAAATGCTCATTTTCTAAATCTTTTTCGAGTGAAATTTGAGTAGTAAATCAATCACCTAAATCAAACAAACAAACAACCCTAAATATTAGTTTTCCAAAAAAGCAATTCCTATATAAAAAAAAGTAGATTTCTTTTTTAAAATGGCTCTGCAGCTTGCTGACTACTGCTGCTGGGGACCTAATGGAGGGGAGTCAGGGTACATTTAATACATGATGTTAAGAAGGTAATGATGACTTGAACACTAATTGCTGGTGGGTGGTTTGGTTGCCTCTCTTTCTCTTTCAGATTTCCTTCTCTCCAATTCACTACAAACAACAGAGAATAGTGGAAAAATGTTACTGCTGTAGATTTTTTTTAAGGGTTTGGCAGTACTCTTTCTGTCATGAGATTGTGGAAATGGAAGTGAAATTAATTAACTAGATTGGCAGCTGGCACACCAAATGTTGTCAAAGGCAAAAACATTCACTGGGACAGCAAGTACAGGGCACAAAACTCAAACTGTCCATGTTCCCTTCTTTAATCATCAGACAATACTACTAATCACATTGATTGATACAACAAAAGAGGAGTTGAAAAGAGTTGGAATGTTGGATGTAATTTGAGGCTAATGTGCTTTATACTTTATCAAAATACACATATATGGGATGGTTGAAGGTGGATGTGAGAGATCAATCCATGAAGAAATGACTGATTTTTATCTATTAGATGCACGTCATTTGTGCGTGCCAAGTTCAGAGGTTAATCTTTGTTTGTGAGGTTGTACGTGGTTGTAGCTAGTTCGGGGTGTACCAAACACACAACATAATTTGAATAGAAGATTTCATATTCCATATGCATGATCGACTTAATCCGTGTAAATTTAATGAATTTCTTTACATCATTTGCAAACTCTTTTGGCATCTAAGTCAAAGGTTAATCTTCGATCGTGAAGTTGTACATGGTTATAGCTAGTTTAGGGTGTACCGAACACATAACATAATTTGAAACATAATATTTCATATTGCCTGCACATGTGTCGACTTAATCCATGTGCATTAATAGAGTGTTCACACTATCTGAGAACTCAGTTTCAACAATTAAGTCATAAGTACATTAAAAAAGTCCAAAATAGAAAAGATAAACGAGTTTATAAGATAGCTCGTGTTGAACTTCAAACACATGTATCCATAAGATCTGAATTAAGTCCTATAAGTTTTTTGCTCAGAAGTCGAAAGCGATCAATCATGGCCTTGTAATTGGTAATGATCATTGGTTGCATGAAGTTCTTGAACACAAAGAATTTAATTACAATATCTTTCGTCCTACAAAATAACCTCACTCCCACAATCACGATTCCGTAAACTCTCACACGAAATTTATCTCTTTCACAAAATACTAACAAGATTAGTAATTATCATCAATCGAATATAATGATTACCTTGCATGTAATGTAACACAAGACTATACATGCTGTGGCCGCGCATACACTTGCGAAGACTTTTACCGAGGCAAGAACCATTAACAAAAATGAAGGAATAAGAGAAGAGGGGAAGAAGGCATTGAATAAGAGGACCCATGTTGAGAGTGACACAACAATGGCAGAGAAGGAAGAAGGAAGGGAAAGGACCTCTCTTGCTTTTGGCTCTCCTCTCCATTCTGAATGCTGCAATGCAAACATGGGGAGTAATTATTACATAAGACATGGGAATTAGGGTTTGCTCTTTTGAGGAGATTTGCCCATTTGGTTTTTTCTTTTGTATGATTCTTTCTGGCAAAGGATTATTTACTTTTTTCTAAATATTATGTCAAAGGACAAGAGAGCAAAATAGTCAATGAGGAAGAAAGAAGAAAGGAGGCAAATAAAGTGTCCCTTTGTAGTCAAATCCCTAGGGCTTTGTTTATGTTACTTCTCTTTCTCCCAGTCTTTCCCTCTCTCTGCCCTTCTGAGTTCTGACCCTGTTTAGGGTTTACTGTTTACTACTACTCTCTTCTTCATGGGTAGTGGTAGAGAGAGAGAGAGAGAGAGGATGAGACAAAGAAAGAGGATGCAAGATGGAGATGGTTTTGGATTGGTGGGCACAGCAAAATTTTGCTTGAATGGGGAAAGATTTTACAGTGTCAAAAAAAGGGCCACAGTCCACACAAACACAAAACTCACTTCCACACACTACTCTCTGCTCTGCCCTGTATCATGAGTCATGACAAAAGCCTTTAAATGCTCTTATTAATAACACTTGTCTGTCACCAAAGCCTCTCTCTCAGAATCTCATTCAATTTTGTTGTCCAATTCTCAACTCCATTACTAATTAGCATGGTTTTATCTTTTGAATAGTTTATACTTTATACCTTGCTTGCACTGCACAAAAAAACTCATCACCCTTTTATGTACACTGCTCTTAATATTGGCTTGAATGTAGGAATGATGATGGGGCAAGGCTGAGTGGGTATCTTCGTCGTGACAGGTTAGGTAATTTATTATGTGGTGCACGTCCGGACAAGTTAACTCTGCAATCTAAAGAATTTTTTTTAACTATGAATGAGTAATGACCACTTTTTTTCCTGTCAATCAATTTAATTATTTATAGAAAATTTTCCCCTTGGGTAGAGTTTCACTTTCCAATTTGGTTATTTTCCTGTGACACTGTTGAAGTTTCATAGAGAGGCAGAGAGAGAGAGAGAGTGATGAATTTGAATAGTGAAGTGTATCATAATATCGGCAAATGGATGGGGTTTGCTTGTGTAATGTGTTATCAGAATGGACCACTGACAAAGGCATAATCACAAAGCACAACCAGAAGCAGAACCCAGCTACCCTCCCTCCATTTTGCTTCTGCACACAAAAACACATTTCCTTGTTTTATTTTTATATATTCTTCTTCCATCTCATCAGATTGCACACAAAAAACTAATATTATCCTTACAACTTAATCGCTCCATGATTATATTAGTAACAGCCAAAAGCCTAATTAACAACATGCCAACACGTGGAACAGTCAAACAAACCAAGAACCATCCTTGCTTAACCCAGTTGTCCCTTCATCGTCATTATAGCTCATTTTAATAATAATTAAGACCTTAATCAGCCCTCAATGGCCTGCTTAGAGATTTGCTGGCACAGCCAGGCAAGGAAAGGAAAGGAAAAGGAAATCATCAAAAATGGTGTCCTCACGACCAGCAAGATGATAGGGCTATAGGGTAATGGCCAGCAGAAAGCAGGCCTGTACTTTGACTTGAATTGGTATTGTATGTTTTTTATATAATGCATGCAAATTTACAGATTTCATTCTTTTTTTCTTTTTCAGAAGAAATGGCCAATTGGCCAAACCTGGAAGAACTGAAGTAGGAGTAGGGGATGGGATATGGCCCTGCAATTCTTCCACATCCATCTTGCCCCCCATCCCTTTTCCAGAAAATGACATTACAAAAATAACCCTCTTCTCTTTTTCTTTTTTTTTTCCCCCTTCTTCTTTTTATCTATATATTATTTCTTGGTATCAAACAGGCAATTATAATTTATACCCTCACCCTTAAATTCAACCTTCAAAGTTCCCACCACACACAGTCCTTCCTTCCTCCTTTCTCTCAGCCTATATAAACACTGCCATTACCACCCACAACCCTCACCATCACCTTTCACGGAACTGTTCAGCTAAAGAAAGAAAAACCCTAGAGGTCAGAACCTTTCTCTCCACCATTATAAGCAGTACACACCACACCACATATTGCTCTCCTCCCTCATCTGTCAAATGGCCAATAATCAGCAGCTAGTTCTTGCTTCTGTTGAAGCACTGGGCTCCGCTGCGATGGAAGATGGATTTCGTGATGGAGATGATGATCATGACCGTGGAGGCCGTGGCAGCAGCTGGGATGGTGGTGGGTTGGGGCGTGGAAGTAGGACGACGATTTAGATGGTGCGACGATATCTCTCCTGAGCTTATTCTTCTTGCAAAATTTTTTCATTTCTTCGGGTTTAATAAGGGCGGCTCCATTTTTCTTGACCTTGCAAGTCCGAGAACGAAACGAGGAAGGTCCTGAGCTGCTTACGTTTTCTTTTTTTTCTCCAATTCGTTTAAGATAGGAAGATTGATTATGTTTATTTTTTTGCGCTTTGTATCCCTCATGAGCTTGACTCACTAACCTTCAGAGGTTTGGTGAATCACATAGTGTAAATTCTTTTTTTTTTTTTTCCTATCCATGGATACAATGTACCATGTGAGTTGTATTTTTCTTCTTCGTTATAACCCGGTGTATATATGCAATGAGATAACTATATTTGAATGAATTGTTTGGTTCTTATTTCTTAAATTGTTCAGGAAGTGGAGGTGATGTTCATACTCCTTTACTCTATGACTAGCAATAGGAAGTATGTGCCGTTCGCTTGTGATTGCAAGAATCATAAACTGCCACCAGACTTCCATTGACATTTGTGCTCATCCCTCTTAGATGTTCTTAAACTATCTCCTAAAGTTGACGAATCAAGTATTGTGATTTCAAAGCCTCGGAGTTGAATTCGACAATTTGGGACGAGGCGGAGTTTGGAGTTGTCGACCACTCGTCGGTAAGAAGTATTACAATCTCATTCCACTACCCAATACTGAGATGCATAATTGCATCACTTGCCGCCTTGCGAGATCCAACATTTCGCCACTTTAATTGGGCTTTGAGTACTGAACTGGTTGTGGGTTGGAGATGGGCCCAATATAGAATAACAGGAATTCCCATGGCGGCAAATCGGTATATTCGGACTACTAATCAAGCTATAATATATAATTTGAACTTTTAAGGCTTTGATAATTTATGCTTTCACTGACCACAGAAAAAGAATCGTGGCTCCACCCAGCGAGCTATATCTCGGCTCCATACACACCTCTCTAATAAGTTATATACAAATGAGCAAATACTGCTGCCGCTCTCTTACACAATTCTTTGCCGTTCAATCGCGAGACCATTTCAAGCGCCAAGAACTAGTACTTTGATCGTACCTTGACTATTCGCGGTCAACATCGTCGGACTATCACTTTTCCAGCACACGGCGCTAATGAAGTAAGATCCTGCGTCCTCATCGGGGTCATCCATTTCGGACGAACCGAATCGATGAGATGTAACGGGTTTGGAAATTTCCTGCGAAATCAGATTTCGAGGTTATGATTTCATGACACTTACTATTTTTGGCTCGAGAGAGCAAGCAAGGCATGTTTTAAAAGGGTAAGCTATTTGTATATTATATGCTCTTCTGGTCTTAGAGACGGCTAACCTTGTGGTAAACAAAGACGTCGTTTGACTCGCTGCCGCATGCAATGTACTCGCTGTTCACTGTGAGGCCAACAAAATTCTTTTCGTTGGTGTGGCCCCTGAATGTACGAACCTGCAAAGATTGAAATAGGAAAACCTCAACACACTCTTTTCACGAACCCTAGTTGAATAAAATTTTAGGAAGTGGAATTGCTTAGTGTTATGCTAGGTCATTTTCACAAACACATTTATGCACTGTAATTTTAACAAATAAGTCATAGTACTAGTTGGCTATCTATTTTTAATCACTCGGTTATTCTTTACAGAAAGGACCAGCTCATGCTTCCTAAGTACATACTGGATGACTCAAATGAAAGAACAGATGTGGTAACAAAAATTTATCTGCAGCACTATCTATCAACAACACAATGATTTCAGTGACTTATTTGTCAAAATCCATGGTTCAGGAACCCTTTTGTTAAAATGGCAGAGCACAGAGATAAAAGAAAAAAAGGCCCATTTACCCTCGAATATTTTACCGAAAGACACGACTAAATGGCTGCCAACTGCCAAGCATGTAAAGCCAGCCAGGGCGTGCCTATAGCACGGTGACATACTAACAATACTTAATAGTTGTTAAACAAGGAGTCAATAGAACAGAAAATAGGTTTTTTAGATTTAGTAAAGACGCAGTGTTGATTTCTCTGTTACGAACGTTATATATAATTGCAGCTACCTGCCGCATTGTAAGCAGAAGATAATTTTGGTACCGTTTCAGATTCTAACGGTTAAATCATAAAGGCATATCAGGAAACTTGCTTGCAGAGGGAGAAAGAAAGCTCAAGATTGAAGTTCAAGAAGAAAAGAAACATAGATAAAACAACGCGAAAACAAACTGAAGCATGAAGTCTTGTTCTCGAATTAAAATGTTAACACTTACCGGAACATTGTCCTGAACATCCCATAACCTTAGTGTGCTGTCAGTAGATGCTGAAGCAAGCTCGTTGTTTGACAAGAATTTGACATAAGAAACGGCTTTCTTATGCCCGCTAAACACATGGAGTGGCTGGCTGATATTTCTTAAATCATAGTAATGGATGTGATGGTCTGCCGATCCAACCTAAATAAACCCAAAAAAAATGCATGTCAGGATAAGCAAGCAATACGCTAACTATTATTTGATATTGAAACTAGCCATCCCTCCATAAGTGGCAACCAACCTTCTCTGTTAACAATTGTTCTTTATAAAATAAAATAAAAAAGAATCAATTGTTGAAAATGGAGCCACATATAGAGAGGATGCTACAAGGTACTGCAGTTTTAGCCAACAAAAAGGATACGTACTGCAATGAAATTGCTTGATCCAGGATTATACTTGACACAACAGATGTTTGCCTTCATATCAATATTGAGAACACTAGCTTCTTGATTTGTGCACCAAACTTTAACCTGTTACATAAAAGTCCAGTTAGCTGACAAATTGACAATGAACCACCATGTTACCCCCATCAACGCCATAGATGAAACCTGTACCACGAAGACCTTGGACTACAGGACTATTTTCCCATCACAATTCATCTGTTAGACTGTTACAATTCTAAGCCCTACCACAACCCAGGTAATCAGGTAGATATATATGTAGATCCCATTTTCTTGGCAATTATTCAAAATCAGCAGACAAGCTTGATACAGGTGCATAACATTTCACATGGTAAGCAAATGGCCCACTCGAGTATCTACACTAATATCACCACCATCATCAAGGCCAACTTTCATAACTTCAAATAGCAGCCAGAAGAAATCAACAATATCTTTCACTTGAGGGAGGCATCTGCCACAGTTAATCTCCTTTGAAGTCCAACCAGGACCCTCTTAGCCAATATCTACGCAGCTCATATTCATTACAGGCAAGCACTTCAAACAAGGTAATACCAAGTTGATCGCTGCTGGAGGGGAAATAAATTCTGCTAGTTGGTTGACGCAGTCCACCACCACCGGTCGCTAAAAGTTTCAATTCACCAATCCCCGTTTCTATTGTTTAAAACTTTGACTTGGCCATGTTAAACATCACAATCTCCCCACTATTCCCCAAATATTTGCTCAGATATTTGAGGAGAGAAAACTTTCCTCAGTCTCTTATCTAACCATCGTTAGTAAATTATGTCACATAGAAGTTAAGATAACCAGTATAAGCAGGGGATCAAATACAAGACTGTTCCCGAATAATCTCAAGGGAACAACTTGCAAATAATGCCATTATATTATTCATAAAGAGCAAAATATTCAGCATTATTCCTTCCAAGAATCCCAGCTTGCAAGAACAAAGATAAAAAGCGACTACCGAACATCAGAAGAAAGCATATGACCAAGCTAAATTAAGGAAACACAGTATTTTTTTTTACCTTGCAATCATCGCTGCCAGAAACAAGCATTGAAGGCTCGGTGCGAGAAAAATCAACACTCCATGCACGTTTTTCATGCTCTTCATATTCCATTACACTCTGTTAAGAGGCAACCAATACTGTTATGCAAAAATTGTGGTGCATAACTAGCTAGTCATGTCTTACTAACAATACAATCGAAATGCCAGTACCTGCCTAGTTGTCACATCCCAAACGGTTACTATTCCCTCATAATCACTACTAGCTATATGGTTCTTGGCATACTTGTTCCAACTCAAGCAGCTTAGCTTGGAGCGCGTTGACATCTCCACAACAGGGCAGTGCACGTCTGCAGGTTCATTTAAAACCTATAAGACAGGCGAATAGAAAAAGGATAAGATGCCGGAAAATACTAGCAAACAAGAATCTCTTTGAAGTACAAGAAAATCCAAAACAACCAAAGTAGGTAAGAAACCATCATCAAATCCCCGCCCCACTTATACATCCCTGTTGGCTTTGCAGTTTGACTGGCCACAAAATACTTGAGAATCGTAAAAACTACCAGCTGTTTATAATACTTAATTCTGCCTTCAGGTTGGCTCAATCTAAAACACTATAACTACAAGAATAAAACACAAAAAAAAAAAAAAAGCCATGAGATTGCTTTCTTACAGAAGAGAAATCGAAAACTTTAATTCGTCTAGAAACTCCAGCTGTGGCAAACAACTCATCATCGCGATCAAATTCTATGCTGCAATCCCAAAAAAATCGGTTAGTTTTCGAGTATATTTACCAATTCAACCAACCTTTACTCGACCAATGACATGAATATCTCTAAATCAAACACAGTTTAACTACATGGAAACAGAATTCTAGGTGTTTAACATAACCATTCATTTTCTAATATCAGCCATTTAGCCAATACTTAAAAAGAGGAAAGAGATAAACCCGCCAAATACTTAGAATCTGCCATTCTAACCTTCCTTCCTTTGATTAACAGATATACTAACATGCACAAGCACATCACACCAAAACATGTGCTTCCTTCCTCCTAGTGTAAATCAAGCCAGGCTACCTAGGATTAATACTTTCAACATCCATATTTGTCAGAACCAGGGCTAGGTTATAATGGTGATTGGGGTAAAGGAAAAGGAAGGCTCAATAAGTTCATGTTCTATAATGACGAAATTCAATATGCTTTTACATTAAAACATGCTAACCGAGAAAGTTGCCAAGGGTTTAGTAAGAATCCTCAAGAAAAAAGCTATAACCTTTCATGAATGTTTCAAGCAGCAATAGTTACCACAACAAACTACTCAATTAATGGGTCAACCCAGCTACTCACCTTGATACTATGTTCACTGAGTGAAAGATATCCTCATGTCTGAGCTCAGCAACAACCCTTAACCGACTGCATCAGGAAAACCAAGAAAAAGTTAAGGAGCCAACATCAATTTTCAAGCAGAAAGTCAATCAGAAATGGAACACACAGACTGAAATTGTTACCTGTACTGGGTGAAGGTACTGAGAACTGATTGAAATTCTTGGAGACCAGCAGTATAGCCCTCTCTTTGTATGATATTCTTATCTCTCTCTTGAACGTTTGGAGGATGATCTGAAAATTGGCGACGCTTTTGGAGATAACATTCTTGCAGCTCATTAAACTGCAGATAGAGAAGTTAAAGATAGTGAATTCCTGCAAACAGGCTTCATAAGATTTTAGCATGTGCAAAAGTAAATCAATGGTCCGAGATCCTTAACAACTATATTATCACCTCCAAAATCTTAAAAAACATACGAGTATTTATGAAGATACATCAACAGATAGTTTCTCTGATCCATTATGGTTTATTCCTTACTTCAAACAAATTCTGGCATGGCCATAAAATCAACATAGCAATCACAACAAACACATCCAGAGCTACTGGGCCCTCATAACACCATGATAGAAGACCCATGGAGACTTATAAATCCAAAATAATTCTACTTATCAGTTCCCTTTACATGCCATCCACACACCAGATAAAATCCTTGCCATGACATCATTACATTCATGTAACTAGAATAAGCATATTATAATAGAAGTTACCTGTGTATGGACCCGTTTCTTCCTCATCACAGACAACCCTGACTGATTATGTTGAATGTCAGAGCCACCTAAATTATCCTTCCTCTGAAATCCCTGAGAACTTAGTTGAGACTTCCCCTCTGTTTTCTTGGTTGCCAGATCGCCTATGGCCATGCCACCTCTTGAACTAAACGAGCTGCTCATCATGCTACCATGGTTCCTATCTATGGTTGAAGACCAGGGTTTTCCTGCCATGGGATCATCAAGCATGCGCAGCTTCATTGAGTACCTGTCTCTAGCACGATACAAATCAACCCTGTGCCTCTCAACTGCATCGATGTCTTCCTTAATATACTGAAGGTCGGTTCGGATCTACATGAGTATTTTAAGATTGCTCAGTCAAAAGCCATCAAACATGCACAGGATACAACTTGCAATTACTATGACCAATCTAAATAGGCAGAAGGGAAATTCAGGACAAGGGGCCTGTGACAGGTTCAATGGTATGAAGTACATGAAACAAACCTCATTTAATTCATCAACTTTCTGCTTCCGCAAGTAGTGCAGGAAATCTAGCAGTACTTGCATGTTTCTCTCAGCTTCTTCTTGTTCCATTTTCCTCTTCTTTTCGGCAAGGAGAGACAAAAGAGAGTCCAGCTCCTTAATTGAAACTTCGCATCCCTGGAAAAATTATCACAAGAATACATCATCGCAAAGTCCCCATGATTGGAGAAGATTCAATTCTGTAGGCCAAAACAACATTAGAAAAAGCTGGTACGTCCACATGCTGCTATGAGGGTTAGCATACGACAATCATCGTATCTGTATCTTGCTAGAAGTCTGATCACTAAGAATCCGATTACCCTCCCTTTTTGCACCCTATCTCAAGAGCTTCTCCCCTCAGCCTCCTTAATATGGCTTGTCCCTAATCTTTCCTCACTCATCGTACTAATACGTTTCAAGAAATACTCAAACATATGGCAACTCACACAAACATTCCACAGTCCAATTAAGCTACATCATATTCAATAGCAGATTCCATTCAATAATGTGCCCAAATTTAGGGGAGGATGAAACTCAAACTACAAGTACGCAAGTAGAGCAACAAAAGCTACTCATGCTGATAACAGTATAGCCAACCTGTTGCAAAGCCTGCCGAAATTTCTCCACCGGGCTCGCATTCTTGGACAATTGACTAGCGGAAGCTTTCTTCAGTAGCTACAAAATTGAAGAGAAAGCGCACAAACAAATGAGCTGCATTGCCCTAAATGGATTACAATTTCAACTACGATTCAAAAAAATTATCGCCAGTGAGAATCAAAACACACCTAATTCTAACTTCTCGAGGAAAATAAAAAATCCTCTATCCAGTAGCAGTAACATCGAAGTAAATTAGAAGGCACCTTCTGAAGCAGGAAATTAGGGAAGAGCTGATTGCTGGTGAGGTAATGGCCGCAGCAAGGGCAATCGCTCTTGTTCCGGAGGTGAGTGATGATGCACATGTGGCAGAAGCTGTGGCCGCAAGCGGTGAGGAAGGCGTCCTTGATAATCTGCATGCAAATCGGGCACAGCAAATCCTTATCCACCTCCGAGACTCCAGCCTCAATCGACGCCCTCGTTGCTGCGGCGGCCGCATAGGACGGCTCCGGAGACGGCGGTGCTGCTAGTGTTGTTGTTGCGGCGGCGGCGGAGGATGAGGATGCTCTCGCCTCCGGCTTTACATCCGGACACACCGCGCCGCTCGATGCCTCTTTCATCTCGGTGCAGTACACTCGGATTTCGCCGTTTCCGGTAATGTGTGAACTGGGAAGGAAGGCGTGGAGTTTTTGCAGAGATGGAAATGGAAGAGGGGAAAAGGAGCGGTCGGGCTCAGGCCAGGGGAAAGAGAGGAAGGAGAAGGAGTAAGGGGAAGAGGGGAATGGTGAGAGTGGGACCTGATTGGGGGAAGTTTATGAGGGCGAGAATGGTACACGTGATATTTCGTTTTGCTCGGAGCTGTTTGGGACCCACCTCCAATCTCTTCGCTTTCTTTTTCCTCTTCTTTTCTCCTCTCCGTTCTCCTCTTTCTTTTGTTGTTTTTTGATAACCCAGGGAACCTCAGCCCCACGTGCCGCTTGAGCGACAGCGGGGCCTACTAAACCACTGGGGGTACCTGCATACTAACCGGGGCTTTCTGCTACCAACATCGGGGAGGCTTCGCCTCCGATACCAAGGGTGCCGCCGGGAACGCACAAGTGGCTCCACTGGGAATCGAACTCAGGACCTCTCACATCCAGAGCTCAATTGGACCAGTGTTTTCACCACTAGGCTATGTTACCTTTGGCCTCTTTCTTTTGTTGTTCCGTTGCAAGTCTGATATGCGCATAGTCTAATCTGTCATCAATTTTGAATTAAGAAAAATAGTTAGGAGCTTATCACAATCACAATAAATAATTAGGTAACCGTCGATATGAAATAAAATTAATTGATATTAATAATAATATATTAATAAAAAGTGGAACGTTACACTTTAATATTTATAAATTTTAATTGGTCTCCTTAATTAAACTTCATTATCGATCGCCTGAAAGAGGAAGGTGGACTCAACCTTTGAAGTGCAACAAGAACGAACGAGACTTTTATGTTGAAGATCGCCCGGTGCCTCTTAGCGAAGTCGGATAGCTTGTGGGCGCATGTAATTCGAGCCAATACCTTTGGCAAGGTGGATGATCATAGCAACCTCGCACAATAGGAAGGTTTTCCAACCTATGGCGAGGAGTTCTTCGAGTTCTTTCTTTCTTCGAGGAGCTATAATGTGAAACATAAGTAGTGGTACTAATAATTTTCTCAAGAAATGTGTGAACCGTATTATTGTCGTTTTTCAAGAAGTCAACATGCAAAACATTAACATCAAACACACAAAAATTTCGTTCGAAAACAAGTGTTAACAAGTATCCCATAATGGTCTGAGACTTTAGGGCTGATTGTTTTTGCGTAGCTAAACTTGAAAAATATCAAACCAAGGGTCATTCACCAAAATCCTATAAATACACATGGCGATTGGATTATTCTCTTACTTAGTCCACAAGTGTAGCATGACCCTGCAACTTTAATAAGTTGCATATCTTCAATACACCCTTAAAAAATTCAAAACTCTATGTTATAGACATCGTGTTAAAAGCATCATTAATTTCTGCAATAAAATTGAAATCTCCCAATACCATCCAAGACAAGTGTTGATAGTTACAAACAGATAGATACTTGTACAATTGGACCATCTATACTATTTTGTTGGGATTATAAACTGATGTAACTACTAACTCCTCAACACCTCGTAGAACCTTCAAATGAAGATAATGTCCCCTTAACTCCAATAAAGAGACATTCAACCCATTCATCCAAAATAGCCACACACAACCAGAAGCTAGTAGTTGTCCATATGTTCCTAGTCACCAAATTGACCTTTTAACTATACTTGCAAAAATTCTTAAGTGTAACTCGAGTTTCCAAAATCGCAACTAAATCAATTTGAAATTTATGTAGCTTATATACATACCCATGTTTTTAGGGGTATTGAAATCCCTGATGTTCAAGGACAATATTATCATCTATGCTTACTTCTCCCTCTTCCTTTTTTAGAAATTTATTTACTTTTGACCAGACTTCTAATAACCATTCTTACCCAATTGTTCAATAATTGCAACAAGCTTATCAATACCCTCCATGTCAACTTTCTCCCAGAGAGAAGGTCCATTTGGTAAAATCACCTCATTAGTATCACTGGTGGATGTTATGTTCAAGTGCAATCACAACTACTTGGCAACCACCCTAAAACCCCGTGAGAAGGATTTTCCTTCCGTGAAAACCACACTAAGAGGAGAGTTATGAGTAACAATCACCGTTGAAAGATCCCCACTCCCAATAGTCAAATTCCAATAAACAGCCTTGCTGACATCTCTTGGAGCCCAAGAAGCATCCCCCTCAACCATATAGTCAGAACCATGCCCAATAATATATCATGCCCAAATACTCGACACTACAAGCACATAGGAGGAAGCCTCAAGTATTCGACCGAGAGAGAAAAGGCAGCATTACCTTGGGGTTGAACACGAATCTCGTCCTCGAAGCCACCATCAACTTGCAACTGGAAGCAAAACTTAGCTATCCCTATATGAATACCCAAATTTGTCACTTGATCCATCCAGAGAGGATTCCCAAAAGCACTAGCAATCCTACTTAACCCATCTACTGTATGATACTAGAGTGGAATACCCCAAACTCAAACCCAGATCGACAAGAATGATAGGTTCACATCCAGTGCCTGAATTCAAGGTGACCACTATTGTAGAAACAGGAATGTTTTGACAGTTCCATGGACCCCCTTCGAATACCCAAGTACTCATCACCACTAGAACTGAAAGAGAAACATTGAATTACCAAACCTCAAGACATGAATCGGTCCTTATCTCCCCCCACAGATGATTTTTCCATGCTTGATTTAACTACAGATCCGGTGGATTAGACAAAAATTGACCCACTAGGGTATCCCTCCACCGTAAAGCTCCAGCTTCCCACAAATCTATAGGAAGAAGAAACACCCCATTAGACACTTCTTGTTGTATAAAACTAAATCAATTGCCTTCGCCGCGACGAATACCTGCCCTCAGCCTAAGAGCCCTTCTTTAGTAGGCGGAGCGGCCATAGCCACCGACGGCGAAACAAAAAAGCAGTCGTGTTTGCAGAGAGAGAAAAAAATAGAGAGAACTTGCATTAACACTCTTTATCCCCAAAATTAGAAGATAGATTTCATTTTTTAAGTTTTTCTTTTTTTAAGTCTAAAATCTTAATAAAAAACTCAAATATTCTTTCCATGTAAAAACACATTACACCATGACCACTGATGGGTTGAGTTTTTGTCGCCCTGTAGTGGATGAAGGGTCGAAGTCTCGTAAGATACGAGATTGAAATGGGAATTCAACATGTCTGACCTATGATTGGAAGAGAATTTAACTCATGTGACCTATGGTCGAGACATGAATTCAACCAGTTGATTTCTTATTGTTTGTCATATATACATTTTTCCGAGAGGAGGGAAGAGGTTGATGTGATTGGGGATGAGAGGAACAATAGTTTCATCTCGACGAGGTTTTCATTCTGAGGAGAAACATTATCGAGCAAGACACTGTTGCCAGTGGAGGTTTTGTGCTTGAGGGTGTGGACGATGAACTTGATGTAAGCGTCTAGAGACATCTAGTATTTGAGCTCTCCACTGCCAACGTCGGCCATCTTTGATGGCTTGTGAATCTGTTAGGTATTTATTTTCTTACTCTAGGTGTGAGACACTTTGTATACATGGTGAAGGTTGTGGACGGTCTCCCACACTACTGTTGATTTGTGTGTCACCGGTAGGGCTGGGAAGCGATCCGGTCCGGTCAAACCAGATTAGATTAACTTGGTTTTTCTGATGCTAACTATGCTAATTAGTATGAGAACCGCAGTTCAATAGTGACTGACATCGTAGACTCAATGGTCAGTCAATTATTGCATTCAGACCTATTTCGTTCAATTCAAATATCAATTTGGTCAAAAAAAAATTGTGTATATAAAATTCATGGGGCCAAGAATCCGACCGAATTATCTACGGTTCTATATGATCTGGTTCAAATGCCAATTTGATCCGGTGCGTTCAAATTCAAATCAAATCGTTACACACCCTTACTAATACGGTAAAAGTTTTAGAGTCCTGACATCCTAATCAACTGATCTAGATCAGCGATTGAGATGAATGGAAACCACGCATCTAGCCCATGGACCCTCATACAGCCTGAAATCCCTCTCCCTCCTCTCAAGGCTCACGAGTCTCTTCGCGTTTCAACAGGGATGCTAAATATAAATAGTGGGAGAATTTGTCCCCAAAAACTGCTCAGTGCGCCTGTTCTCTTTCCCTCCCTACTCCCTCTTTTTTCTCTGAGCTTATCAGAGGCTCGGAGCAACGGGAGAGCAGAGGATAAAACTTCGATTGTCTTCTAGTTTCTCCAGCAAAAAAACGAAAGGAAATCCTAGAAATCCAACTCTCTGTTTGGTATGACTCCTATCATCTTCTTCTCCTTCTTACTCATTTCAGTTGGCTCATCATAAATACTGTTTGCTTGGAATCGAGCACTCTTGTTCTTCAATTCTCCTGCATCTGCTGTGTTTGGTCATGGAAGAGCTCTTAGCGAGCGGAGAATTTCTCGATTTCAATTTCTGTTTTGCTGCATTGTTCTCGTCATTTCCGTTTGAATATATTATTTGTTTGAAATCATTTTAGTCTTTCGGCACTATGTACTTCAATTCTCTCGTTTTTTGCAATGTTTTTGCTCCAGCATGAGCTCTTACTGAATGGAGATATTATCGAGCTCGGTTTCTGTTTTGTTGCATTTCTCTTCTCTGGCGCTCATGGCTTTGAGTGTTTAGTCGATCGTGCTTCTTCTTTATGGATAGATATACCTATATGTTTGCATGTTTGGGTTGAAGTTTCATTTTGTAACCAGCTTCGAATATGTGCTTCTCGCTTCGTTTTTTAGAAGCTGGTCGTGTTTAGAGTTTTCTGATTTGCCTCGGCAAGCTTTGAAAGGCAATTTCGGCAATCGATTTTTGTACATGCGCCTGTTTGTTGGGTTATTGTGGTTTTGACTGTACACTCTTATTAGGAATGTTTGGATCTAGATATATATCTCTTTCCCTCTGCGTGATGCGTCTCTCAATTTCCCGATGATTGTTTTCCTGTCGCTACTAGACAATGAACTTTTTTAGTCTCCTCCTCGATGCTTGCTTGTTTATGATATTGGAGATGTCGTCGTTCTATGCTTGCTTCTTTTTTAGTTCTTCATTGCATGTGGGAATTTTACTGCTATTTAATTTTTTCGAGAAAAAGTGCACGGCGAGATTGACGCTACCATGGATGTTCTCTTAGGCCTTCTTCGTAACATGCTTGGCTACTCTAGATTATGAATTCTAATCTATCTATCTATATCTATATCTATATATAAAATATAGGGCTAATACCACTAGAAAACCCGAACTATTAACTTTGTGTCATTTGTGTCCTAAAGTATTCGATAAGACAATTGTGTCCTAAACTATTTCTCCGTTAGAGTTGACCGGCATTGACCGTTAGTTTTTAACAGAAAATCCAGTAAGCGCTGATGTGGCATCTGAAGTGGAATTTATAATATTAATTTATAATTATTTTTCATATAAAAAAAGAAAATTACAAAATTACAAAAATAAAAAATAAAAACCCATCTTCATCATCTTCTCCGACCTCTCCCCTTCTCGTCTACGTTACACTGACCGGCGGTAACCAGAGAGAACCGGAAAACTACAAACGCCGTCTACTTCCTCTGCAATTTTCACAATCGAAAATGAAGAAGAAGAAGAACGGCGGCCATCATCATCCTCATCATCACTACAGCTGCCCGCCGCAGCTCAGCTCCACCAGATTTCCCTCATCCTCTGCCGCGGTGGCCACTATCTCTTCCCGTTGATCTCGGCTCTGTCCGCCTCCGTCCTTCTCTTCCTCGCCGATTTCGCTCTCCTCCCCATCCGAAAGCGTCGTGATCGCAGCCGCCATCATCTCGTCACACGACGACAGAGCGAAGGGGGAAATCTCCCCCATCAGTATCCCGTCGCAATCGACGACGGCCACGGAAGTCTGGTCGGCGAGAGAGGCCAAGATGGCCTCCAGAGCAGAGGAGGCAGGGGAGTGGTACTCAATTGTCAGAACGTCAGTGGTAATTATCCCCAGGGAGTCGATCGATAGAGCTGGAAGCGGTGAGAAAATGGCGATCGAGCTCAGAAAGAAGCGAATCACGTCTTCTTGCGTCAGCCAGCAATACTCCCTCCCGTTGTGGAACGTCGAAGAAGACAGCTTCTGCTTCTGCTGCTTTTTCCTCATCCAGCTCTGCCTAGCTTTGATAAGAACCACCAAATTATGCGCCCCTTTCAGTATAAGATCTATCGCTTCCCCCAAATTGCAAAAAAAACCCAAATTTCTCCATCAAACACCCAAAACCAATCAATTCGAGAGGCTCCCCTCTGTTTCTCCCTCTTCTTTCAAATTTCAGTAATTTAGTATCTCGAATGAAACCCAGGAAACCCAGATCCAATGAAACCAAGAAGTGGCGGCGTTGAAATTAGATCTGCAGTGACGCGACGATTTGGATGGGGTCAGAGATTTGGAATGGGTACGAGCTTTCCTCCGTCTCCTCGTCGACGATTTGGAACGGTGCAGATGTCCTTGTAGGGTAGGATTGTGGAAGAGACCCTGAGTATACTTGACCTCCGTCTTTGTAACGCCGGAAACCCTCTGAAACACCAAGTCGACTCCCCAGAAGCACCCAGCTTTGAATTGGGCGAACTACTGGCCGGGGGCGGGGGAATCGTCGTCGGGGCTCTGGGGAACTGTCAGTTCCATGGCGGACGGGTCGGGGGACCGGACGCCGAACCCGAGCTTGTTGAGGATGTTCATGGTGGTTGGCTGGGAACGGGAGATGGGTCTGGAAGAGAGAGGCTTTGAGGTGGGAAGAGGAATACCTCAAAACCTAAAACCTAATTTCAGATCCACTAATTTCTGGAGATGCGAATTTTGGGCAAACGATTCGGCGTCGACGTCTGGATTGAGCTCAAAATCGCAGGGATTCCTTCAGCGCCGACGTCCGGATTCAACGTCCGGATTCGAAGGGTCGGATTCGGCGGAGGATGGTGGAAGTGCTGGGGAAGAAGATTTTTGCTAAGAAATTTTTTTTTACCTTTTTTTGAATTTTTTTTTCATAAATAATATGATGTGTCAGCTGACGTGGCCGCCACATATGTGCCACGTAACCAACGGTCAACATTTCACTGATGACCGTTAGGTCAACCGTTATCTTTAACGGTCAACAAAATTGCTAGGACATAAATGACACACAACAACCATACGTCATGACACAAATGTCATATCGAATACTTTAGGACACAAATGACACAAAGTTAATAGTTCGGGTTTCCCAATGGTATTAGCCCTAAAATATATAAAGGCTTTTCCAAAAACTACCTTCACCATTTCAAAATTCCAGCCCTCCTACGCATCCACGTTAGCACCCTTCCGACAAACCAGATTTTTTCTTAACTCCTTTTTTTTCTTTTAAGTTTTTCTATACCCCAACTAGAATGTGCCACTTAACTCTCTCTCTCTCTCTCTCTCTCTCTCTCTCTCTTATTTTTCAATCTCACCTACTATTCTTAATTGATCCATATTTATTTCACTTCAACTCCGAATTTAAATATTATTGCGCGAAAAAATTAGATTTTATGTGATCTACACAAGGATACCCATTTTGATATATGTTTTTTTTTTTAAAACATAGCCACAATCATATATTTACAAGGCATGTTCCTATTCGATAGTTGCGAAACTATATCAATATCATTCGATTGTACCGCCATAAAGTACATACTAACATAGATCGCAGAACAGATTTCTTATTCTACTGAGTTACTAAATTATAGGGGTGAAAGCTTGTCCCTGAAGACCCACTGACCCGTCCCGACCCGTCCCGTCCCTAAGGGTTGGGACGGGTCAGTTTGTCTACAGGGACAGATTAGGGACGGGTCATTTGTTAACCCTGTAAGGGCCGGGACGGGTCGGGACAACTTAGGGATGGGTCACGTTTTGACCCTGTGACCCTTAGCAACAACAAATATCTCATACTTCATTGGACCTTTTTGTAAAGTTTTAAAAGTTTAGGTACTAATTTGTAAAAATAAAAAAAATTGGGTACCAAAATGTAATTTTACCATCAAAATTTATGGACTTATTTGTAAAAAAAATAAAATTTAGGTACTAAATTGTAAGAAAAAATAATTTTGGGTACCAAAACGTAATTTGTAAAAAAGTAGTGTGTTGATTAGGGTCGACCCACTGACCCGGCCCGTCCTGTCCCGTCCCAACCCTTGAGGGTCAGACAGGGTCAAGAAGGAGACAGGGACGGGACGGTTATACATCTTGACCCTTCAGGGACGGGTCAGACAGGGACAGGGACGGGACATACAAATTTTCAGCCCTACTAAATTATATCAATGTTTAATTTTGTAATATCATAATAATAATGCACAACAATTTCATGGGTGCTAAAAATATTGTCGTGCGGTACAAACTAATTTACCTTAAAAAAAATCATTTAGCGGCCAACTGGTCGGACTCAAAGGTATACACGATTCGGAATGAGAGATGACAATGACAGACTGAACAAAATAGACATCTTAGGAGGAAAAAAATACCAAAGTACATATTTCAAACAAAATTTACCCGGCCAACGGACCGGGTACCAAACTAGTATATTTAGTGTATGTTCTCTTCACCAGCCAGTCTACTGCAGTCACCCAATATCAATTTTGCCAGTTGTCTTGCTATTCTATTACTGATGGGTGTATCAGCCTAGTGTCTACCAGTGTCGTCAGGGGTTACTATTCTATTCCTCATGTTTCTTTCATTAAGATTCTTGACATATGAATATTATTGTCTAGTAATCCTAATGGTGGTTTGAATGTATTGCATTCATCATTTTGAGAATCTGTCCAGGTTACAGGAGTTTAATGGAGTGTTTTAGCATTATAGATGTCTCTCTTGCTAATGATATCATAAATGATTCTTTCAGGGCAACATGGTGAAAGAATCAATTGAATTACCTCAGTTACCCCCACCCCTCCATTAGTATTAAGTGTGAAGCCTGAGATGCTACTCCAGCATGTGGATCCTAATACTAACCTTTCAAAATACTCTATTGTGAGTAGAAAGGGAGTTGGAAAGCTTGGGCGTCAAATACCTTTGCTGACAAATCACTTCAGAGTTTCTGTTGGTGTTCTAGATGCAGTCTTCTTCTAGTACACTGTATGTTTATATTCTTATGTTCTCTTATTTCTATGTTTTATGCATCTACATGTTGCAAAAGTTGAAATGTTCATGTGAATGTTAGGTTTCGATTACTTATGAAGATAAGAGACTTGTTGAAGGAAAGGGAATTGGTAGAAAGCTGCTTGACAAGCTTTACCAAACATATTCTTCTGTATTTGTTGGTAAAACGTTTGCCTATGATGGTGACAAGACTCTACACTATTGGAACTCTACTGGGGAAAAACAAGAGTTCATTGTAGTTCTCAAAGACTATATTGCCAAAGGATACGATTCAAAACAGTTTTTGTTTTATTGTTAAATATGTTTGCTTTTCACTTATTATATAAGTCATCTTACTATTGAAGTGAGCAGGAAAGCCCATCCTCAAAAAATAAGAGGACAAAGTGTTCTACTGGATTGAAGAGTTTTAACATAGAAGTAAGCTATGCTGCCAAAATCCCGTTAAAACACTTAGTTCTTGCACTAAATGGGGCCCGAGGCAGATAATGGTGGCATTCAAGATCCTCTGAGAGTACTTGACATAATCTTAAGGCAGCAAGCAGCCAACAGGTTGTTATATCTCCATATTCAGTCATTTATAATGAAGCATTATATTTTCATGAAAATTTTATGTTGCAACAATGTTTATGGTTTCCTAAACACATTAATTATCTACAGGAACTGCCTTTTGGTAAGACAGTCGTTCTTCCATAATGATTCAAGAAACTACACTGATGTTGGACAAGGTGTAAGTGGTCTTATGTGGCATTTGCTTTTTTCATCTCTGTTCATTGGTTTTACTCCAACGATACAAAAAAGCCTTATCTTCATTGCACATGCCATCTTTGGTTGAAAAATCTAGACAGAAATCTCAGGAGAGAATAAGAATTGTTACTTATGTATGTTATTCTTATGACTTCTATGGTGTCTCGTTTCTTTATCTTAAAACAATATTCATTGTTAGAACTTATGCAGGCTATGAGAACATATCTCTATGATGAAGATCCATTGCTCTCTGAATGTGGCATCTCAATAGAAAAAATTGACATGTGTCACTGGTCGTATCTTTGAGACCCCCTAGGTGAATCTTCCTTTCATTTTTGTATTCATGCATTTAGGTCATTGGATGAGAATGTCCCCATTCATTTTGTTTTGGTTAAGCCCTTTTTTAGTTTTTTTATTTTGTGTTTGTGACTACAGTTGAAGGTTGGGAATAATGAGATCTGCTTCCCAAATAATGGTCGTTGGAACTTCAACAATAAGGTATCTTTGCATGCCAGAAATATCTCCTCTCTTCTGATGTTAACGATTTTGAAGTTTCATTGTCTGATTGTCTTTTCTGTTGTATAGTTTTTTCGGAAAGAAACGAGCATTAGGCAGTGGGTTGTTGTCAACTTTAGTGCTCAATGTGATACTAGTCACCTGTCCCGTGAACTAATCAACTGAGGAAGGAAAAAAGGACATTGTATGTTACTGCATTTTTCTATTGGTTGTTTTACATCTATTTTTCATCGGGCTAATAATTTCGGTAAACCATTTTATAAATAGAATGAAGGGTATTGAAGGTCCCAAGAGTTCAATTGATGAATACCCTCAGCTTAGAAGAAGCAGTCCTGTTGCTAGAGTGGAAAGTATGTTTGAGCAAGTTAGAGAAAAGTTGCCTAGTCCGTCGGAATTGATCTTGCGTCTCTTGCCATAGAAAAAAATTATGATATTTATGGTACTTGTTCCTTCATTTTTCTTTCTCCGTATTTCATTTTTATGGTTCCATCTAATAGTTCATTGTTCCTTCCCTTTGTTTACTAGGTCCGAGGAAGAAGAAATGTCTAAGTGATTTTGGAATTGTTACATAGTGCATTTGTCCACCACGTCTTATTAAGGATCAATATCTCACAAATGTACTTCTGAAGATTAATTTAAAGGTATTCCTATTGAAGTATCATCCCTCCACTTTTTAGTTTATTCTATTGTTGAACTTCTTAGTTATCTTGAGCTTTACTTCATTCATTGTAGCTTGCGGGGATAAATTCTACACTGGAAATTGAAGTTTCTCGATTGATTCCCTTGATAACTTAAACTCCTACGATGATTTTGGGGATGGATTTATCCCATGGGTCTCCTGGTCGGTCAAATGTTCCGTCTGTTGTTGCGGTATGCTCTTCATTCTGATTATATTTTATAAGCATTATCTTCATTATGGACTGGAAAATACCATAGTTCATAAAAGCTAAGCCTTTTGTCACTTCTATTATCTGAATTTAGGTTATTGGATCCCTGGAATGGCCTTATATCACCAAGTATAGAGCATCTGGAGAACTCGTCTCCTAAGTTGGAGATGATAGATGCTCTATACAAGCCTATAGCCAATGGCACAGATGATGACATCATGGGGTATTAAATTACTATTTCAATTTTGTTCTTGAACTTCATCTTGATGTGCAGTTTTGTTGGCTTGTTTGTTCATTATCAAGTCGTTTGTTCTGATTTTCTGCCATTTTGTTGCTTGGTTTCTTCTTTTGCTTTGGATCAAGTCAAAGAGACCTTGATGAGCTTTGCAATGCTGACAATAAAGTGATGGTTGCTTGAATTTTAACTCC